CGTGTTGACATATATGAAACGAAAAAAAAAATACACAAAATGAAAAAAAAGGAGACTCTTTACTACAGTGTATTTTGCTAATTACTGCAGGACCAAAAACTACTCATGTCACTGCGAGAAGGCAGATGTCAACATGATGCTTAGGAAGACAGTGCAGACATTTCCCAGCCAACGTTTCCAATACTGACATCAAACATGTGCCGAGTAAATGATGTGATTAAAAACAATACTGAATCAGGTGAAGTGTGACCCATCCACACCACTATCTGAAGGACATGCTGTCATCTGCCTTCCCATAGCAGTTGCATGGTAACTGATCATGACAGTCTATGAGGGAAATTTTAAAGAATTTGTTAGTATAAGTGTTGGAGGTCATATACAGGGAGTATCCTTGCACTACAACGCACCTGGAGACAGGTTCCAGGCAGACATAGTGTTATTATATACATCCCAACATTTCTCTCTTTGTAATTGTGCTGAAAGTTCTAGCATTTCATTTTCCAAGAAAAATCTTTAAATAAATGCATGTTTCCATACTGAATCTACATTTCTAATACTGTAACATGTAAAGTGTAATACAGTGGTAATATATTAATTGGTGACCTAAGTAACTTAAAAATTTTCTGCCATATTGTCCACTGTGTTAGCATGTAGGAAGGCAAACTGGGTAACCTGTTAATATGTAAGCACCTGTAATACCAGTTAATTTGTTTATATCCTGCTATTCACAATGCCTGGCCAGTCAATAAAAGTGTCAGGCCAGCTCTGTTACTATAAATATTAACAGAAGTAAACAAAATACATGAATAAATTATTGAAGTAAACACATACTCGAATATCCTTGGTAGCATAGGTTTAACTAGTTCTGTGGCAATGTTAGGTGATGCACGTAGACATGTTTCAACCAATCTCATTGTCATCACAATCCCTTCTGAACGCATGTCAGATAACATGTCATTGCATGAATTCACGATCACCTCACCATAGGCCTGAAAGAGAATTGCTTATATAAGAACCACAAAATGGTTTTGAGAGAGAGAAGAGAGAGAGAGAGAGAGAGCTATGGTGACCATGAAGAAAAGAATGTCTAAAATGTTAAGTTCTGAATCTTCACACACTAAAGTGAGTAAAAAATGGGTTTAGAACATTTCATATTCAAGTTCTTGTCATGGTGTTAAAATCATATGTTTACTTTTTGGTACCCCCACCTTACTCAAAAAGGGTGAATGAAATGGCAGTTCCAACTAGACAGAAATCTGTTTACTCCTGACAATACATCTCTGATGAAGATAAAAAGGTGAGTTTTGTTTATTTATTATTTATTTACTGTAGCAGTTCAAATTATACCATGTTCAATGGTAGGGTGAATGGTGAATAATGAACTGGAAAGGATCCCACTTAAGGCATGGATGTCTGCCTGTATTTGTGTTGTCCAGTGTAGGTAGTAGCCTTGAGATGGGCTGATCCCCTGTCCAAGGAGTACTACTGACTGTGTACAAAATCAAGAAACTGAAACAAAACAAGGTATTTCACAAATGCCCTATGCTCCAGAGGGAGCAACATGATTGACTGAACAAATGATTGAATGAATGACTGAAAGATAGATTTTGAACATTGCACATGGGCTCGTGCATAACTGGACCCATTTCTGCCATTAGCAGTAGAGAAAAACAATATCACTCAGTTGGGGACATTAGAAAGAGCCAACCTTGATCACAGGGGTGACATAAGTATGATGCTTTCCATGGAAACAGATCCCTGTAGGATTCTGAAATGATGTTCATACCAAATATACCCCAGACAACAATGTCCAACATAATATTCATATAACGAATCAACTGTCATCACAGAAGTTTAGGGAATCATAATATACTTACATTCAAGAACTCCTCTGGAGATAGAAGGATATAAGCCTGAATGATGTAAAAGCATGTTCGCAGATTCTCAGATGAATATTCTAGAAAACAAACATACACATTCCCTTCAGTTTGTTTACTGACATTTTCTAGACATGCAGAAACTTATGTGTGGATAAGAGGAGGAGCATTTCTGAAATAAGGGAAGGCAGAAATATGATTTTTTTAATACATTTCAAATGTTAGGGAGATATTTGTGCTTCACAGTGACTATGAAATAGACATATGCCGAGTAGATAGTGATCACAGTTACTTAATGCTGTTATATCAACTGCAATGGTTATTTCGGGCCTAAATGTAACAGGACTGCATGTTCTTCTACAGTATTCAAATAACATTAATAAACCGTAAAACCCCTATTTAAAGTTTTGAATTGTTTCATTTTGGTCCGTTACACTATTAATCACCAATTGTCAATAGATTTTCCGTCAAGTGCAACAATGTATATTTTGGTCACTTATTTATCTCATCTGCCTTACATGTTTCGGTTCCAAGGAACCATCTTCAGAGGCACTTACAACAAGTCATGAAAACACTGGCACAGCTCAACATCCACAGTATGTAGTTATTTGTGGAAACTATTACATATATCGGAGTGTAAAGCACAACACTTCCCAGTATCTTGAATGCAGGTATAGCACT